TCACTGAAGGCAAACCAGGGCTTGGTGGGAATTACCATGAGGGAATAGGCCCACATGAGCTCCTGTGGAGAAATAAAACAACTTCTCCCTGCTGTTGTGTTTTCTTCCAAGTATATTGTCAGTGTTACAGTACTTACCATAACTTACCCAAAACTTTACCATCGCCTGCTTTATTCACCTAATTACTTGCTTATGTATTGATTCAACTTCTCCAAGATTGCAGTGTCTTGTCAGACTCAGATCTTGTTAGTCAGTATTGCATGCTCACAAAACAAGGTACTTCCTACACAATGGGTTGATGTTAGTTATTTGCTAAGTAATTGATAATGTATTCTACAGCAGTTATAACAAAGTTACATTTATTATAGATATAGATGAAGATATCTATGGCTAGCTTTACACACACATTAAAATTTAATATGTGGAGCTCCACTAATCTGGAATGTCTTTTAACGTGGTCAGAGGTTAGGTTTGTGGTTTCCTGAGCATGTTTCCTATGCTAATAAAATCAATAATGCATGTTAATTTGTTAAATGATATAGATTAATCTGAGAATATTTAGAGACACTTTTAAAAACGCCCTGTTTTCAACTTTGTTAAACCATTCTAGTAGTATGTATAAACAATTAAAATGCTACTTCTCTGCTAATTAATCGGGAAGCTAATTATTGATTCATGAAAGCAACTTGCCCCTGTACCCTCAGCCTAGTCCTATTAGCGTGTCGTGCCTGGAGACCCATTCACATGCGCGTCTTTCTCTTAGTACAAGTAAGGGCAGCTTCGCCTCACGACCAGTTAAACCTGTAGAAAGATGGCATTCCTTCCTTTGGTTTCATGACACAAAAATACTAAGTCGTCCCTCTGTCTCTCGCGTATCCCTCCTCTGGCAGCAGAAAGGCAAAGAGAAGTCATGCAGACAAGAGGATGAGGAAAAGAGGAAAACACAAATCGAGATCATTGGGCTGAAATCGATGCCACATGTACAAGGGTGGTGAGGAAAATGGGCTGTTAAAGAGGATGGTAGGGCGCAGGGTGGGGTGAGAACGCTGTTACTGTCCTGTGGGCTCTAATTACTTTTGGCCAATGGACAGAAAAATACGTCTTTTACTATAACCCCCAAATATCCTCTCTAATGTTTACTGCCAAGACCTAAAATTTCGAGAGATGGCATGCTTGGAACATTTCTGCAATGACAGGATTCTCACTTCTAATGAAGTGTTGTGATTGAAAAAAATTCCATATTTTTCTAGCTATCGGTCTCTTATTCTACTCTAGAGGGGGAAAGTTATCCTGATTACTATTTTCAAGAATAAAGAATCTATAAGGGGTCAAAGAACTACAAGAACCCTTTTTATCTCATCATCTTACTGTGGGATGCAAGGATGGTGTAACTCCTAGCCAGCCGTCATCTGACCACACCAGCAGGTTGCCAGAAGGGTGTGTAGCAGGGCATGTCAGCCTCAGGAGGTCAGACAAACGAAAAAAGGAAATCTTGCAATGCCATGTTTCAAGGCTTTTGTGAATCTTGGGATCCCATTGGAAAATGTCCACAGTCTCTCTAGGGTTTCACCAAGATACTCTCTGCTTGCTGTTCCACGTGTTGGTCAGGATAGTAAGAAGTTCTATCCCATTACCAGTTCCTGGTGGAAAAATTCATGGAGAATCCATGGAGTTCTGTCTCCCAGCAGTGCCAGGAGAAAGTGACTGCCAAGATGCTACTAGTAATTAAGGACTTGACACCAAAGGGCAGCTACTGAGCACGTACTAGTTCCTATAACCTCCAGGTAGAACAAATGAAACTCCTATTTTAAGTGTGTTTAAGTGGGACTGGGAGACATGTTTAGTCATATTCATGCACCCTTCACACACACAACTACAGTTCTGGCAATTAAGAAATGGTGTGTGGCTCTGGCCACCTGGGAGCATGAGATCCCCAAGCCCGGTGCCATCAACTCCATGTTAATTTTAGTAAGGTACTAAATAGTAATAAGACCCCAAATTTATGTCCACTGATTCTTTGGACAATGAAAATATGCTCCTTAAGTAGCTTTCGCCAAAAACTGTTCTTGCATAATTAGCAAACATCTTAATTATACACTTGGATTTGAAGCTCGTATTAATCTTAAACTATAAAAAATAATATAAATTAGGTGAGGAGAAAAGGATTAAAAGACAAAAGACTGCATTGCGTAGAGGTGAAGAGTATGAATTCGGAGCCACAACTGGATTCATATCCTTGCCTTGGTATTTACCGGCTCTGCAGTCTTGAAAAACTAGTTAATCTTTCTATGATTCAGTTTCTTCATTTGAAAAATGGAAATAGTAACAGTGCCTAATCATAGGGCCATGGTAAGCACTGGAATGCTCAAAACATTAAAAATTACTTTGAACTGTGCTTGGAATGTAAATGCTAAATAAATTTAGCTTATTGTTATTTTAGAGGTGGCATTTAAGAGTAGTAACTCCACAAATGGATCATTACACAGTAGAAATTTTGAAAAGGAGTAATAATTAACAATTCAGAAATTTTATCATAAAATCTCAAAAGCTTGCCTCCATTTCCCACAGGGAAGTAAGTGAATACTTCATATATGTAATAGTTTGTTAAAATATATTAAAATTAGAAAATAAATTTATTCAACAGACACTTATGGAGGACCCATAAGCATCATAGGAAGGGATTTGATGTTACAGGTATACATAAGACATTGCTACCAACTTCGAAAACCCTAAATTTTAAAATATGGCATGTACTAGAAGAACAGTATAAAATTGTTAGGCATTTTAGAAATGTTACTTTGAGTGATATAATTATTAAGGTAGCTGCACTACCAGCATTTAGAAAAGATATTGGGTAAATACAATTGGCTGAAGAATCTGCACACTGAAGATATTTATGACCTTGAACTATTTAAGTAAATGTAGATTGTTACTCAATTCTGAATATGCCACATATATTCACAAAATCACAGCATAAAGTCAAATGTATTAATGCTGAATGTGATGTTGATAATCTACTTGATAGGGTTATGCTACAGACCACAGCCTTGTGTGTAAGTGCTAGAGAAGATATTAAGTATTCTTCATGATATTTCATAGCATTGACCTTAAACCAGCCATGAGAATAAACACAGCAGTGTAGACGTACAGCCTAAAACAAATATGAGTTTTATCATTAATTTGCAAGCAAATATCACTTTTAATAAAATTTGAAAATATCACCCTTGGCTGTTTCTAGCCAATTAAATTATGCTTATCATCAGATGTAGTCTTATGAAGGATGAGAACATTTTAATGTACTAGAATATTTTTAATATTTATAAAATTGTGGGAAAGAATGGAAATAATAATGAACTATTTCAGATGTTAGTATTATAGTGATTTCTAACATTTTTCTCATACCCATTTAGTCCTCTGTGAGATAAGAGAGGGGAACATTATCGTCCCCATTTTACAGATTAATCATTTGAGGCTTAGAAAAGAGTTTGCAACACAGAAGCAGTCCCAACTGTCTAATTGCCCAAGTGACTGATGAATGCTGTTGAGGATTTCCTCAAGCTCTTATGGAGTTACCAGTTGACCAGCATTTTGGATTATCTAGGTGTTTGGTTTTTTTTTTTCTCCTTCTGTTTTGTCTAGTTTTCGAGGCACTTTGCTGATTATTTTTTCATGGGTGGGTTCACTCGTTCATTCATCAGAAGTGTCTTGGTTACCTGGACTCCACCCAGCACTGCCGAGCAGTCCTATGCCAGCTGCTTCCCATTAGCCTACATGAGTGCGATGCATCTGCTTTTCAGTGGGACAATTCAGAAAGTCAGACTTTCCTGCCTCAAATCTTTCATTAAAGGAGACAGCCTATAAATTAATTATTGAGATTTGAAAATTGTTTTGTTAATCCTAAACTCCATAGTGACAAAAAGCGTGTCTTACTCATCTTTTAAGCCTAGTTCCAATATTTAATCTGTTGTTGGATGATGGATTATCTTTTATCTGAATTAAGTTTTGCCGTGATGAACGTGATAAATGTTAATGGCTGTAATTGTAAACAGGAATGATTTTTTTTAAATCAGGTTAATTGGCATAGTATAGCCCTACTCTCTGTTAAATTTGTGTCTTGTAAATTCCTCATATATGTTAGGATTAAGTAAAAGGTTTCCTCAAGAATTTTTAAATACATTGAAAACCTTACAATTGCAAAGTAAGTTGTTATCACAGACCTAAGCACAACTTGGCACTTCTAAGCTCACTTTTTATTTTAAAATCCATTCTCTCATTCATCTGTCTTCACAATGATCTATCCATCTACACATCCACCTCTCCCACCTCCCATCACGTTGGGATATGAAATAATTTACCCTTCCTCTGAACTCTCTTTCACATACGCTACTAGCTGTATGAGCTAAGATAGATTTCTTAACCTCTCTGGTCACTGTTTCCTTATTCTAAAATGAGATTCATAATAGTACCTACTCATAAAATTGTTAAATTGGTTAATTTATAGAAAGCATTTATAACGGTGCCTGGTATCCATAAGCATCCAGTACGTATAGTTGTTTTCATTGTTATCACGGTACCTAGCTCTAGCTGCACTGCAATACAGTTTTGTGCCTTTCTCAGCTCCTGCCTCACTAGGCTGAACCCTTGTTGAGGAACAAGTAAAGCTCGATCATATTGAAAATATTAGCCGGGTTCCTAACGCAGCTTATGCCATGTCTTGCGTAGAGAAGACAAGCACTGAAGATTTGTTGGATAAATGAAAGGAGGGAGGAATTTGTTCTCCTAATATCCAGAGTAGTAGTAATCGGGCTTTGTACACTGTCTCTGAATGGAATATTGTAAAAAGATACTATTTCTATTGGCATAACAAGACCTGTGTAGAAGAAAAGCATGCTTTAACCAATATCAGTCAATATATGATTGTAATTCGTCTCATGGAATGTATTTCAAACATAATTTTAATTTGCTCCTATCATTTGATTTTTTTTTTCTTTTTTTACTAGCTCGAAAGTCAAAGAAGTTGGGAAAGTTAAAAGGGATCCACGAGGAACAGCCACAGCAGCAGCCGCCGCCCCCACCGCCGCCGCCCCAGAGCCCCGAGGAGGGGACGACGTACATCGCCCCGGCCAAAGAGCCCTCGGTCAACACTGCCCTGGTCCCTCAGCTTTCCACCATTTCCCGAGCTCTCACGCCTTCCCCCGCTATGCTCCTGGAAAGCATCGAACCCGAAATCGTGTACGCGGGCTACGACAGCTCCAAACCAGACACGGCCGAAAATCTGCTCTCCACTCTCAACCGCTTAGCAGGCAAACAGATGATTCAAGTCGTGAAGTGGGCAAAGGTACTTCCAGGTAGGCTCGCCTCCCCTTTCCCGGCTGCATCCTGAGCCAAACCAGTCAGGGCAACCTTCTTCCCGGTGGCCATCGGTGCACTTGGAGTTAGCTTTCTATTAAATCCCGATGCCAGGTTTTTAAATTGATTATCAGATTGTTTGAGTGCACGGGGAAACTCGAGTTCACGTGCTCATTTCTTCTGAGAATAGCAGGTTAAGGATTCTGTTGTTAAAATAACACATGTATTTCTTCTGTTGATGGTTGAAATGGAAAATTTCATCCCCCAAATATTAATAAGATGAAATACATTGTGTTCATGAAAGCGCAAGTTGTGCCCATCGTTAGCTGTTTGTAACCAGGGTTAATCTAAGCAGAGGCCAAGTAAGCCAAAGATGCTCAAAAACTCCTTTGTCTAAAAAATACCACCTTTCCCCAGCACCCTTTAAATTGTCCTTGAAATTCCCATTTTTGTCATTTTTTGTGTGATCAGGCACCCCTCTTGATCTACGGGAACATCTCTTGGAATTGTTATCACATTGTCCCAGTTCGTTGATGTAAAGCAATTTCTTAGATCACCTGTGGTCAGCCAGTAGCCAGAAGGACAAAGCTTGGGGAAAGCTGGGATGACTGATTCTTTTATAGAAGCAGTAAAATTCCACATATGGAAAAATAACATGATGCCACTGGGAAAATAGAGGGTGAGAAAAGGAACAGAAGAGGGGCTTGAGGGCCCAAAAGGGAGTCTGTCGGAGAGGGGAGGACAGGTGCCAAGGATGCTTGTTCTACTACAGAACTTTGTCAAGGTCTAGCATTATGCCAGGCTGTGTGGGAAGCAAGGAATAATATTTTTTTAAGCACCACAAGCTTAAGAAAATGAAAATCTTCCACCATTACGGCAGATAGCCAGGTGTTGGCAGTTATTAACTTACCCTTTATTTTACTGTTATTAATTGTAGGTGGGATGGAGCAAATTTGAAAAGTTAATACAGATTCTCTCAGGCTAACCAAGGATTTTAGGCTGTCATCCACACGAAAACACTGAACCCTCCAGTTGTAGTTTGCCCTAGCAGTGCAGCCTCATGGGGAATTCAGGGTGAATTTAAAATGAAAGATGGAACAGGGTGGGGTATGTGGGTGCTTCGTAAATGACTGTTGAATTGATTGGAGTTTATTAGGGTAAGGTGGCTGTTTGGGGTTGACTTAAGCTCCTTCCTGGAATTTACTTCAATGCTAAGTGTATTTCTGTGATTAATTGTTTTATCCTTCAGGATTTAAAAACTTGCCTCTTGAGGACCAAATTACCCTAATACAGTATTCTTGGATGTGTCTATCATCATTTGCCTTGAGCTGGAGATCGTACAAACATACGAACAGCCAATTTCTCTATTTTGCACCAGACCTAGTCTTTAATGAGTAAGTACCTATTAATTAGCCTTCATAAAATAAGCTGCAGTTATTATGTTCTTTTTAAAAAAAAAAAATTTCTAAACCATGTTTGTGAAAGAATCTACTGATACTGGCATTTTTTTAAAGTTAAAAATGTATAGATTTTCGATGACTTTAAAAATTACTTTGCAACATTATACTGTGCACTTCTGAGTATATATAAAATCAGTATATTATAGATATAAATCCCACATAATAGTATGTGGGAAATGTCTCAAAAGAAAGACGATCCAATTGGCTCTGAAAATTTGACTGGTACAAAGCCACAATTAATAGAAAACAGTCTCTTTTGGTATCTACTCCGGTTGGGAAGACTATCTAATTTCTAGGAAATGTGAATGTATAAAGTGCCAGTTTTTATGAGCATCATATAATGGTTCTTTTGTTAACAGTATACAGCTGCTCAATGTGTTTTCATGACAATCATAATTACCCTTCTTTGCCATCATAAAAGAAGGCAAAATGTTATTCTATAGTGAGACATTTTTAGTTCCATGATGCATTTTAAAAGATTGAAAGAAGAGTAATAGATTTTTCTTTGGTCATGAATTCCTTCCCACTTTAAGTTTATGTCTTAATACTGTGCATTCCACATTAGCACATTTCATTTATGGTTCTAGCAGTGCTTCTTTGTAATTGTTGGGTCAAGAAATATTTAAAAAGGAACATTTGAATTATGATAGTAACCACAGCCACATTCTAACAGATGGCTCTCTCTAGAGATATGAAAATAGGGGTTTCAGTAGGGAAGGAGGCAGATGAGAAATAGGTTGGTGATAAAAAGAAGACAAGTGATGCAAAATATTAGAAGTAGACGCCTACTGCCAAGATACTCCCAATAGTACCAATAGAAATTTACCTAAGAGTACCAGTTCACCCAAATGTGATGTACCACAAAGACAGTTTTATTCCAAACAGAAATTAGGAACATCAGTTGTTGATTCACAAGGTAGCCCTTCTTTTGGCAATTAGTCAGAACACATAATTATAGTGCTGTGTAAATTTTCATCAAAAGCATGAAGTAAAGCCAAACAACTGAAATGCATGTCTTAATTTACTTGTATTCCTCAGTAACCAGCTGATATTACTAAATAGTAAACCTGTCTTTAAATACATTCTGCAAACCAAAAGAAAAAACATATTAAGGCAAGTCCTTGTTTTAAAAGGAAGCGTAAGTAAATAAGAATCTCTGTTAATGCCAACAATGTATCGGCATTTCATTTTGGTTTTTAACAGAAGATTAAAACAATTCATTTAATCTTATTTAGTATATTCTAATTTTTTGTCATAACATATATATAACATGAAATGTGCCATATTTAAATGTATGGTTCAATGACATTAATTACATTCATATTGTTGTGCAGCCATCATCACTATCTATAACCAATACTTTCTCATCATCCCAAACAGAAACTCTGAACCCATTCCACAATAACTCGCCATTCCTCCTCCCCCAAATCCCTGGTAATCTTTAATCTATGAATTCGCCTATTCTACATATTTAACATAAGTAGAATCATACAATATTTACCCTTTTGTGTCTGGCTTATTTCACTGAACCTAACATTTTCTATGTTTATCCATATTGTACCATGGGTCACAATTCCATTCCTTTTTATGGTAGAATAATATTCCCTTGTATGCATGTAGAGTCAATCCTTATTATTCACAGATTCTGTATTTGCAAATTTACCCACTTGCTACATTTATTCGTCACCCCAAAGTCAATATAGCATGTTCCTGGTCATTCACAGTCCTGTGCAGAGCAGCAAAAAATTTGAGTGGTCCAGAGCTCCCATTCCAGCTGAGATCAGACCAGGAGCTGCTCTGCCTTCTTGTTTTGGCTCTTACACCGCAAACGAGCATCCTTTTCACATTCTACTTAGTGCCACGCTTTTTTTTTTGCATTTTTGTGCTTATCTTGGTAATTTCACTGTTTAAAATGGCCCCCAAGCAGAGCGCTGGAGTGCTGGCTAGTGTTCCTAGCTCAGGAAGGCTGTGGTGTGCCCGACAGGGAAAATGCATGCTGGAGAAGCTTCATCCAAGCATGAGTTAGAGCGCTGTTGGCTGCGAGTTCAGTATTAAGGGATTGGCAATATGCATTTAAAAAGATGTCCTTAAACAAAAACACACACAGAAAAACAAGAACAGGAATAGATCAATTGATGAAAATTGTGACCAGAGGCTCGAAGGACCATAATCCTGCATTTTCCCTAGGAGCAATGGTTCGATATTTGCTAATTCAGCGTTCGCTGTGATTTTATACAACGTAACTATAGCTAATACAAAGAATTGACCACATTTTGTTTATCCAGTCATCTGTTGGGGGCACTTGGGTTGTTTCCACCTGTGACTATTGTGAGTAATGTTGCTGTGAACATAGACGTACAGATATCCCTCCAAGACCCTGTTCTTAGGTACATACATAGGAGTGGCATTACTGGGGCACATGGTAGAACTCTATGTTTAACTTTCTGAGAAGCCACCAAACTGTCTTCCACAGCGTTGCACCATTTCACATTCCCACAAGCAGTGTGCAAGGGTTCTAAGTTCTCCATAGCCTCCTCAATGCTTGCTTTCTTTTTTTGGTTTTAAGAGCCCTCCTAGTAGGTGTGAAGTCGTATCTCATGATGGTCTTCATTTTGCATTTCCCTAATAACGAATGATATTGGATGTTTTCTCATATGCTTATTGGTCACTTGCATATCTTCTTTGTAAAAATGTCCATTTAAGTCCTTTGCCCATTTTTAAATTGTTTGTCTTTTTGTTCTTGCATTAAAGGAGTTCTTTATATATTCTGGGTATTAAACCTTAATCAGATAGATGATTTGTAAATATTTTCTCCCATTCTATAGGTTGTCTTTTTACTCTCTTGAAAGTATACTTTGATGCACATTTTTAATTCTAATGAAGTCAAACTCATCTATTTTTTTTGTCTTGTTGCTTTTGCTTTTGGTGTCACCTATTAATTTTTAACTCTGTGTAAGCATCTGAGCATAAAGGATTCCAAACAAAGTACAGAATTGTAAGAATCTTTTCTAAGAAATGAAACTTAGAGGAAAGTACCTTATATTCAAAAGCTAGGAAAATTAATATCATTAAAGGGTTTTAGAAATAAATATAAAGAAGAAACCTTAAAAAAAAAGGCTGCAGAAGCTTTGTGTACATTTGTCTGTTCTAGAAAATATATTAAATAGATACAGATAAAATGGAAACAACAAAAGATCACTGCTTTCTAATACTATAAATAGTTGGATGTTATTTTATAATTATTAGAATGAAGATTTTGTTTTCTGTTCTTAAAACTTTTCACCCAACACAACCAAGACTTCTATAGGGTTTTCTCTCAACTGGAAAAAATCAGGTCAAAGCTGTATTTTTCAAGGGGGCAGAGTGGGTGCTACTTTCGAGAAACAGTTGGAAATAACATAAAGCCTTTTGGTCAAATCACATCGATACATAGAGCTTGATGCAATAGCTCTGTCACAGGGTACTATGATAGACCGTATATTTTTTAGGGAAATCACTGAGTTACAGAGGATGGCCCAATGCATGTGCATGCTTCATCTTGCACTTATTCAAGGAATATTTAACTATTGACAGTATTCTAAGAAGTGGTTTAAAACAGTGAGAGGAATAGAAAAGAGACCTAGTTCCTATCTCATAGAACATACAGTCTAATGGGGAAACAGAAATTAATCAGAGTCCTATAAGTAAAATATAATTGTGATAGGTGTTGAAAGGAAAAGTGCTTTGAGAGCAGTTCATGGGAGGGATTGATCTGGTCGGGAAGGACTTCCCTGGGAAATGATTAAGCTGGTATCAACTAGGTGAAGAAGTACAGGAGGAGGAAAGGGAAAGTCGATCTAGGCCGACAGCCCAGCTTGTGCAAAGGCCCAGTGGCAGGAAGCAACGTGGGTCCTTCAGTGAAATGAGACCAGGAGAGTGTACTGGAGCACCATGGATGCTCAGCAGCTCGGTGAGGGTAGAGGGGAGCAAGAGCCAGGTCATGTGGACTGTGACAACCAATGTAGGGACTTGGTTTTTTATTTTAAGAGAAATGGAAAAGCTGTTGAAGCATTCTAAATGATGAGGTAACATTTCCAGATTTACTTCTTGAAAAGATCTATCTGAATGCAGGATGGAGAATAGCTTGAAAGTGAGTCAGAGCAGATTCTGGGAGCCCAGACCATGTAGGCTGGGATGGAAATCTAGGTGATGTTGCAAGGTGGAATTAACAGGCATTGTAAGCAGATGAATATTGGTAAGGATTCAAGGAGTGAAAGAAGTGGGTGTCTAGGAAAACATTCAAGCCTGTGTCTTAAGTGCCAGGAAGAATTTGATGCCACTCGCTGTGATAGGGAGCAAGGGAAGAACACCAGGGTTTAGAAGCGTAAGGGAAGGGGGAGCTTGAGGCCAGCTTCAAACATGTTAGGATTGAATTGCCTTTGAAAGATGATCCAAGATGAGGTATTAAATAGGCAGTTGTTTATACAGGTCAGAAGCTCAAAGTGGTGTTCTGGGTGAAGACATAGGTTTTGAACTCATCTTGCAGGTAGCAGGTGAAGGAGGAGTGTTGTGTCATAGATCCCAAGGGAAGAAAAGGCTCTGAGAAAGAAGATGTGACTAATCCTGTTCAATGCTGTTGCGATCACAGCTAGATGTGAAATAGGAAACTCAAAGCCTGCCTGACCCATTCCCTTATACACAACACCTTATACACTCATGTCTTCTGAACAGGTCCCTACACCTTCTCTGAGCCTGTGCTCCCGTAGCCTACCACGGTGTCAGGGAGCAACGATGCATTCACTCAAGGGAGGAGTGCATGAATGTGGTCCTCCCTCACTCTCCTTCCAGCCCTGGCTGCTTACACCACCCCCCACCTGGCATCACCAGCTCTTTTTTAGGAGTCTGCATCCCTCCCTCCTTCTACTGGTCCTTCCTCCTTAAAGTCACTGACTGTC